CTGGCTTTTTATGTGGGTGCTGGGGATCTGAATGTAGACCTTTATGCTTGCTTGGCAAGCACTTTCTCCACTAAGCTATCTCCCCACCCCCATGGAAAAAGTTATTTAAAAGTGAAGTTAATAAGAGCTACAACTGAATATGATAGGTTTGTGTCCACCTGCAAGTGGACCTTGACTTAGGACATTCCACTTTATATAGTGTGACAGGGATGTGTCCATTTAGTGGACACAGCCTTGGATTTGAATTTGGGTTTGGTGGTAGGCAGTGCAGTGCTCTCTGGCGGTCATAGGAGAACTGATGTGCCAGCATTCCCTGTTGCTGAGTCTAATTAAAAACAATAGACTTGGGGAGGGGGCCTTAGTTGCCATCCTAGAGGTATGATGGGATTACATCCTGATGACCTCATCTAAGCCAAGAACCACGTGCATTCCCAAAGTCCTGATATCTTCCTGGAGGCTCTGGTCTCCACCTGAGCTATTATGTTTCTAGCTGTGGGTTACAAGGTCAAACACTGAAGCAGTGAGCTGTTTCTTTGAGTGATGAGACAGCAAGGACCTGGTGAGTTTCTGGTTATACTTTGGGGAGCATTTGCTGGGTCTTGTGAATACCAAGCACCCACTCTCCTGTGAGTTACAGTAGCTCCACCCCTGGTAGTAGTTTTGTGGTTAAGATGCTATTTGCCTTATCTGAGTTCCTTTGTCAGCATCCTTCTAGAACAAACTGATATCATCAACACTGAGATTTAATTTTCCACTTAACTGTTGTCCCACGTAATTCTTACTTGGCTTTAAATTACATTTTTTGTCTATATTCTTAGTTTCCTTATCCTTCCAGTCACATAATGAAAAATGTGACAGAAAGTAAAAATGCACGAATCACCTTGTGAATCTGAGAACCACGCACTCGGTGTCTCCTCTCACATGTATTTTGATTTGCACTTTCTTCTAAAACAAATCTTAAAGTGATGCTGCAGAGCTGGTCCAGCGGTTAAGTGCACATGTTGCTCTTGCAGAGGACCTGAGTTCAGTTCCCAGCACCCACACCAGGGAGCTCACAAACACCTGTAACTCCAACTGTGAGGACCAGAAATCCATTCTGGACTCCAAGGGCACCTGCAACACACACACACACACACACACACACACACACACACACACACACACACACACACACCCCATACAAACATACTGTTAAAAGAATAGCAAAAATATTTTGAAATATTTTAAAGCATGGATCTGAAAGCTATCGTTGCATATATTTGTGTGATATAAAGTGATAAGTGATATCAGGGATTTTTTTTTTCAGTGCTGAAGGTGGAACCCTTGCACATACCAGGCGAGCACTCCACCACCAAGCTACTTCCCCAGATCTGTGATTCCTACCAGGATCTCACCATCAGCTCAGTCTCCCCTGAGACGTCTGGCCCTGCTGTTCAGCCTCCTGAGCCCTGGGTTGCAGGTGTGAGGCACCATGCCCAGGCTGATGCTATGATTTTGAACAGAATGTAAGATGATTAAATTGAGCTAATTAACCCATCCATCAATCAAATATCTGACACTTTCATGGGAAGAATATTGGAGTTTATTTTCTTAGTGACACTCGAATGTATGGCACTGAGGTCTGGTAAGATGGCTTGGTGGGCTGAAGGCACCTGCTGTTGAACCAGCGAGAACTGGGATCTCCACATATGTACCCTGGCACATGCCTGCATACACTAAATAATTACATGTAAAAAATTCAAAGCAATGTATGACACTCAGTTGTACACTGTGCTGAGCAGGAGATACAAAAATCAAATTTTTTCTTCCTATGTAACAGGACTTGTCCCTTTGGTTATCCCCTCTCCAGTCTCTCCAGTCCCCCCAGCCCCTGCCTCACTGGTAACCATCGCTCCGTTCTTGGCCTCTATGATTTCAGCTGCTTTGGAGTGTATGTCCACGTAAGAAAACATGGTATTTGTCTTTAGTGTCTGACTTACTTCACATCTCATACAGTTCTCCAATGCAATCCTCGATGTAAATGACACATACTGCTCCCTTTTTAGAGGAATACTATTCCACCGTGTGAGTGGGCCGCATTTTCTGTATCTGCTCATGTGTTGATGGACATTCAATTTCCTTATCTTGTCTACTATGGATACTGCTGTGACAATCAGTGGTCTGTAAATGTCTCCTCAACATACCGATTTCAAGTCTTTAGGTAAACACTAAGAAGTGGGGGTGTGACTCGTACAATAGTTCTATTTTTAGCTTTTTGAGGAACGTCCATCCAGTGTTTCATGATGGCTGTCCTAATACAACTTTTTACTAACAGCATGGAAGTGTTCCATTTTCTTCACATTCTCACCGGCACCTGTTGTGTTTCAACAACAGAACAAAACAGAAAACAAGTTCCGGAGAGGAGAACCTGAAACTGTGTAGTCCCCAGCGTGTGGGAAGATAGCAGTGTGGTCAAAGGGTCAGTCAGGCAGATTTCCTAAAAGTTAATCGCAGAATTGCCACCCGACCCAGGAATTCTACTGCTAAGCATATACCCCAAAGAACAAAAATCATGCATTCAAACTTGTTTACTGCTCCTGGAAATAACATTAACTGTAGCCAAAAACTGGAACCAGTCCAAATATCTATTGAGGAATAATTGAACAAATATCTACACGTAATAAAACATCCAGCCATAGAAAGGAATGAAGTGCTGTTAGATGCTAAGAGTTGGAAGGACCTTGACATCATTGCATTAATGAAAGAAGCCAGGCGCAGTCACATACACAAGTCCATGTCCCTGAAACCACCGGGATGTACAAACCCATAGGAGGGTGAAGCAGATTCATGCTTCCCAGGGCCCAGGGAAGATCAGTGGGCACTGACTGCTCAATAAATATGGGGTTTCCTTTTCTGATGATGAAAATATCTTGGGAAAAGACACTCTGTTTTTAGGAAAATGGATGGATCCAGAAAACATTGTGAGGTAATTCAGACTCACACAAACACTGTCTGTTTTCTCTCATATGTGGGACTTAGTTGTTAATTTATGTATGTGTTTATTTATGTGGAGGTGAGTGTGAGCAGAGGCCAGGAGCCTAGCAAGGGGCCGTGAGAGGGGGGCGCGGATGTTGAGGGAAGGGGTACAGAGGGTAGCGGAGCAATCCTGGTATGAAAATGGAGGGGTGGTTTCTGAGGCAAAGGGGCTCAAGCAGTGGGGAGGGAGGTTCTGGAGAGTGGAGAAGGGGGTCAGCCGAAACAAAGTCTGCTTCAGAATGGCATGATGGAACCTAATACTTCCCATGTCAATTCAAAATGCAATTAAAAATGCAAAAGATAAGCCTTGGGTTTTGACAGCAATAGCTTGTAAAACACTGCGAGCAGACCAAGCCAGGCTCAGGGGTATGTACTTCACAGCTACTTGGCAACAACCTTAATATTTTATCAAGAGAAAGAAAAAAATCAGCAAATTGAAAATTGAGAAGGTATGCTGTAAAGACCATGAAGTCCCTTTTTAAACATTTGTGTTGCCTTTTATTTATCTTGTGTGAGGAGGTCAGAGAACTTGCTGGAAGCAGGTCTTCCTTCTACAATGTAGTGCCTAGAAGTGAACTCAAGTCACCATCAAGCTGAGTCAGAAGTGTTTTTACCTGCTGAGCATCTTGCTGGCTCATGAAGTCATTTATAGTAGGCGGTCAGTTGCATGTAGGTATTCATGGGACCAAATGCTGACCACTGGACAGGGACAGATCACACAGGGGAGCAGTGTTCTGGGAACTCTGGGGCAGGTCCCGCTGTGCAGTACTTTTTACACTGTTATAGCTTGGTCTAGGATGTCCCTCAAATGCCTGTGTGTTAAAAGGCTTGGTGGTCCTCATCTTGGAAGGCATGAAACCTTCGAGAGTTAGACGCCAGAAGACTATGCAATGAGGGGCACCTGTAAAAGGGAATATGGGGCCCCAATCTTCTTCTCTACCTCTCCCCAGCTGTGAAGAACTCATAGGGCTTCCTCTGCCATGCACACCTACTATGATATACTGAGCTACCACAAACCCAAAGTAACAGGTGATGGGGAAGTCCTGTGTATGTCAATAAAGCACTGTTGGCCAATAAGGAAGCAAGATAGGTGGGACTAGGAGTCGAATAGGATTCTGAGAAGAAGAAACACAGGGAGTCATCATGTAGCTACTATAGGGGTAAGAAGTCTGGACCTTTTTCTCCGGTAAGAGAAATACTTAGATTAACAATTATGGAGTAAATACTTAAGTCAGAGCTAGCCAGTAAGAAACAAGCAAGGCCAACAGCTTCATAATTAATACAGTGTCTTGAGTGTTATTTGGGGACTACAACGTGGCAGAGCCCAGGCGACTGGTGGGGAAAAATCAAAGCAGCTGGCAAGGAAAAGGCATCACTCTACAAACAGGGACTGAAACCTCTGAGGAAATGAGAAAACACACTTTTTCTTTTTTTTCTGTGTGAGTATTTGTATTTATGTGTGCATGCATGCATGCATACATGTTTGTGTGAGTGCATGTGTATGTGTGCAGATGCACATGTGTGTACATATGTTCAGGGGGGCAGAGGACAACCTAGAGAGTCGTTGCCCAAACACTTGTTTTATGTGACTGGGTCTCTCACTGGCCAATGTGGCTGTGCTGCCTGGTAGTCAGTGAGCTCCCAGGGATCCACCTGTCTCTGCTTCCGTGCACCTGGATTACAAATATGTCACCAGCCTATTTTATTTTTAAAATGTGAGTTTGGGGAGTTGAACTCACGTCCTCGAGTGCTTTACCGACTGAGGTGTCTCCTCAGCCCCAAGCCCTTTATCTTTATCTATTGATTTATGTCAGGCCTTTACGACAATAATGGGAAGCTAACTAACACATAGGTTCACACTGGTCAGCTCCTGTGACCCAGAAGACCACTGGTGACAAGCGTCAGTGCAGGACAGAGTCAGGAAATGGCAGGCACCCCGGCCATGTCATAAGATGCCCAGCCTGTGGCATCTTCCGATGCCTTACCTGAACTTGGTCCAAGTGTACTGTTCCTGTGCACGTCTTTCTTCTAAGCTGCTTCTGCTTCTCCAGCTTCCTCCTCTGAGTCTTTTCTATCCATAGGTCATCCAAGCTGAAGTGGGAATGCCGCGGGGCCCTCCTGAGATCTGAAGAGACCTCTCTGGGGACTTGCTCTGTGGAGATGGAAGGTAGGGCCCATGGCACTACCTCAGTGGCAGGCAGCAGCTGTGGAGTAGGCGCTGTGTAAGAGGTTTTCTGATCACAGGAACAACTGGCCTTCTTGTCTGGAGGTTTTTCCCGGACAGTGTAGCTCTAGAGAGCAGAGAGACATCATCAGAGGTCAAAGCAAGGGTAAATCAACTGGGGATGCTGCTCTTCCCCCTAGAGTCTTTCGGATGTAGCACGTTGTTTTGACTTATTTTCAAAGTAAAGATTACACTGAGATGCTTCATTCACAGTCATTTTGAAAAGTATTAAAATTAGATGTCAGGCAGTGCTTTAATCTCAGCACTCAGGAGGCAGAGGCAGGGGGATATCAGTGAATCTGAGGCCCGCCTGGTCTACAGAGTGAGTTCTAGGACAGCCAGGGCTGTTACACAGAAAAACCCTGTCTCAAATCCACCCCAACCAAAAAGTAAAAACAGATTAGATATAAAATAAATCTTGTTTCTGTTATAATGTCTACCTGTAAGAGCGTTTCAAACAAGAAAAACTCCTGATTTGATCAAAGACCATATCTGTTAAAGAACCTAATGGACTTGGCATGCCAGTTAGAAATACTTGTAAATACTCGTGTGTGTGTGTGTGTGTGTGTGTGTGTGTGTGTGCTGGGACACATGTGCACATGAGTGAGGCGGCCAGGGGTCAACTTCAGAGGTCATTCCTTAGAGGGGGTACCCCATTTTCTGATGCAGGGCCTATCACTGGAACCTGGGGCTCACTGACTAATCTGGGCTGGCTGGCCCTCAAGTCCACTTCCCCAGTGTTGAGACTACATGCATATGCAATCTTGCCTAGCGTTTTGATGTGGGCTATGGAGACTGAATTCAAGTCCTCATGTTTGTGACAAGAGCACGTTCTCGACTGAGCCATGTCTGTATCCCAGAGCTCTTGCTCAAGCAGAGCTTGTCGCAGGCACAGTTCTCACCTCCCAACCACTCTCATTGTCTCAGTTCAGGGCTAGCACTTAGGCATCACAACCATTTCAACATAAAACCTGTCCGCACTAGAAGAATTGGAATTTGTGTTCACATCTCCATCATCTGTTCCTTGAAATCAACCCATGACCACCGGGAGAAGAAACTCTTTTATTCCCATGTTTATAAAAATGAACCCATTAAACACAGGGGTTTATGCTTCTCCCAGAAGCCATAGAATGCCAAATAAAAAACCAAGTGGTGTAGGAGGGTTGCTTCCCTTCAAGCTGCTAGAGGCGTTCAGAGACCTGCAAACAAGAGAGGCTCCAATCGACGTGGCTCTTTGTTGCCCATGGGAACTTGATGCTGAGATCCTATTGCTGAAGATGCCACACTTACCTGTCACAGTCTACATAGGGAAATTAAGGTGGTACTGACCAGGTGTTATTCAGGCTGCTGAGAACTGGCAACAACAGTCTTACCTGTAAGCTATACTAATGACCAGCATGGCAAAATATGCCCATGGGTCCAACAGAAGTACGTACGTTATGGGGGTAACCATCTGGTTTCTGATTAGCCACAGCACAGAAGTAAACATGTTTGGTATGGTCAAGAACCTATGGCTGGGGAGTTCTCTGGCCGCTTATTATTGTTATTTTGCTAAATGGACATAGAAACAAACTGCCCTCTAAATTCATATTTCTCTAGCTGTAGATTAGTGTGGCCACCAGACTTTATCATGTGTTTCTTTGTGTAGTGGATGACAGTTAATGCAGAAACACAGTCAGTCAGAGTACAGAGAATAAGTGTCAGCAGACAGTTCAGTTACAAATGTAACATCTATCTCAGCCTCCAAGGGTTATAGACCATTACAGAAGAGGGAATAGAGGATAGGGAGGACTAGAGCCAAATCGTACTCTCTGTACAAGGCAGGACCACTGCTCTCATGAACACACAGCAGCTGCGGTTGCCTGCACAAGACCCAAAATTTAAGACGTGATGCCATTTATAATCACTTCAAAATTATGAGATGTGTATGAATAAATCAAACTAAACTTTTCAAAAATTGAAAACTACAAAACACTGAAACAGCACAGAAGATCTGAATAAATGAAGACGCTCTTTTATCAGTTAGAAAACCCAGCATAGTAAAGACTCCAGTTATGTTCCAATTCACACGCTGCTTAATTCCACTCCTGTCAAAGTCTGAGCAAAGCCATTTGCAGGTGAAGTTAAGATTTACTAAACTTTATATAGAAATACAAGAGAACTAGAATAAAATAATTCTGAGAAAGAGAAAGTGTGAGCAATCCATTCACTCGGTTTTATGACTTTATTCAATGACAATCACTAGGTTACTGTGGAACTGGGGACATGATACACACAGATCAATGCAACAGAATAAGGACATATGAGTGTAGCCCCACAAGTACTACTCAATAAAGACATATGAGTGTAGCCCCATAAGTACCATTCAAGACCTGAGGCTAATATTACAAGCAACTCGTGCGGGAGCAACTGACTACCCACAGGCAGAGAAATGACTTTTCCTAAATCTCAAACCTTAACAATATTTTCTCAAGATACAGAAACCAGCATGGAGTTTCCTCAAGAAACCAAAAATATCCCTATCCTGCCATATCACCCAAAATGTTCCAAGTCAGTGCATCACAGAGCCACCTACACATTAATGTTTGTGGAAACACGGGTCACAAAAGCTAAATTAGGGACCAAACTGTGTCCATCAACGGGAACTGGATAAAGAAAGGGTGGTTTGCATGCACAACGGAATTCAGTCAAGACAGACAACAGTTACATATGGTCTCTCATCTGCGGGGTCCAGATTTTATATAGGTTTATAAAATCGCACATGACAGATGACGTGAAGGTGGACATGAAGCTGCTTAGGGGACATAGGGGACTAAGGGGGGGAGATAAGGGCAAGGGCATGGATGGTGAAACACGCCCCAAGTTCATTATGTATTGCATAAAGGCTGCTTTATGTGACCCAGTATAAGAAAGCACAAAACCAAAAATTTATAATAAGCTTCAGAGTGAGAATGGAAGGAAGCACATCTTGGGGCTGGCTAAGAACCCTTGGACACTGCACTGAGAACGTGACCTATTTTACATGATTGTACCAAAAAAAACTGAAGATGGGCTGCCTCAAAATGTAAATGTTTTATCTGTGTTTTTTTCTCCTGGCTTGCTTTTTAAAAATATATGTTTAATTGAAATAGAATTACACCACTTTCCCCCTTTTCCTTGAAAAGGTCTCTTTGTAAGAGATCCTGTTAGGAAGACAACACGACCAATTGCAGGCAGAGGGAAATAGTCGAAAATCACATATAAGAAAAACAAAAACAAAATAAAAAAAGAAAAAGATTTGAATCCAATATTAGCATTTTAGAAACTTAATTGCATAAACAACAACAATGTAACTAGAAAATGGGCAAAACACATGCAGCTATATTTCACTAAAGAAGGTAGATGTATCTGGATGTGGTGGTGCATGCCTTTAATCCCAGTGCTGAGAAGGCAGCTCCCTGAGTTCAAGGCCAGCCTGGTCTACAGACCGTGTTCCAGGACAGCTAGAACTATACAGAGAAACTGTTTTCAAAACCAAAAAGACAAACAAACAACTACAAAAAGAAGATAGATGTGCCGTAAAAAAGAAAGGGAAAGAAAAGTTCAGCAGCCTAGCCCTAGTGACGCTCACATTAAGATCAAAATGAGGCAGCCCAGCATGATGATTCCAATGGCATGATGATTACAACAGCAGTTCATACCCTGACAAGGGCAAGAACAGCATTTCTCATTCATTGGCGATGATCCTGTGAGATGACACAGGCCCTCTGTCAGGTCACACAGGCAGTGAACTTGCCTCTCTGAAAACAGGCCTTGCAGACAGCAGAGCCTTAACTCCAGAAGGCTCTAAGCAGGGCAAGATGACACACACCTCCACTCTAGGCAGGCTGACCACTGCCATGTGGAGTTAATTACACACTGTCTAATCCCGTCATTCCTCCTCCAGGTGTCCCTTATCTAGAAACGTCATTGGAACCCTCCACACACCTGACTCAGTTGGGAACCACAAAACATATTGTCCTTTATTCTAATTTGATTGTCACCTGACCCCGGACTCACATCCTATAGCACAGCGACCACTTCCTCCTCCCTCACAAGAGACCTTCGAAGAACAGGCTTTGCTCTCCCTGGAAGGGGCCAAAAACTTTACCTCCGTCCCTCTGCCCATCTGCATGGCCGTAACAAACCTCTAGTCCACAGAAGGAACAGACCCCAAGCCTTTCTCAAGCCCTGTTGCGATCCTCAAAAACTCTACACCCAACAGTTTGGTAGTTTCTTTCTTCTTCTCATCTGTGTGCGGTGTGCATGCATATTTGTACATATGCGAGCATGTCTGTGTGTAGGCGTACACGTATGTGTGAATGCATGTGAAGGACTGAACTGATGTTGAGGCTCATCCATGATCACTCTCCAATCGCCGCTTTTTCTTAGTATGTGTCTCTCATGTGAACCCAGAGCTTGAGGATTCAGTTAGTCTCACTATCCAATTTGCTCCCTCCAGGCTGTGAGTCAGCCATGATACCAGTGAGTTCTGTGCTTAAGATTCATTTTACTTGTATTCATGTGTGTTTAGACATGTTCATGCCCTTGGAAGGCAGCAGAGGGCTTTGGGTCACCCAGAGCAGAAGTTACAGGTGCTTGTGAATCTCCTGAGATGCTGAAAACTGGACACCAGCCCTATGCAAGAGCAGCAAGTGCTCTTAACCTCTGAGACATCTCACTGACTCAGCTCTGAATTTAAACTTGGTGTCACCTTCAAGCTGTCTCATTTATGTATATGGAAAATTTCTACAACTGCAAAGATAATTAAAACTTGACATACTTTTTGTATTCTTTTTTGTTGAGTGTTGAGCCTTATTTGTGTAGTGTGGGTATTGTTCTGTTGGACACACAGGTTGCAAATAAAAGGTTTAAACCAGACGTTGTGTTCTTCCTTGTGATTTTTTCCCCTAAAACTTTATCATGTTGTATTATATTTTGTATTTGAGATTAGTGAAGTAAGTTTCCTAATACTGTGTCTTAGCACTTGAATATTTTTTCAGTTTTACCTGGGGTGGGTGTTAAGGATGTAGCTCAGTCGGTAGTGCTTGCCTAGCATGCATGAAGTCCTGGGCTCAATGCTCAGTACCCTGTAACACCGAGCATGGTTGTTCATGCCTGTAATCTTAACACTTGGGAAGTGAGGGCAGGAGGACCAGGAGCTCAAGGCCATCCTTGGCTACACAGCAAGCCCATGACCAGCCTGAGCTATATGAGACTTTGTGTCAACACAGCAAATCTAAAGGGAGGGGAGATGGTTCAGTGGCCTGAGGTGCTCACAGTCACACCTGACCACCTGAATTCAATCCCTGAACACTGTGGAAGGGGAGAACTCACTGTCCTTCGATCTGAAACATGCCCTGCTCCACACAGACACAGACACACAGACACAGACACACAGACACAGACACAGAAACACACACACAGACACAAGGCATACACACAGTTATACCAGACACACACACAGACAAACAGACACACACAGAGACATACACAGATATACACACAGACACAGACACACAAGACATACACACAGACTCAGACATATACACAGACACACATACACACATACACAGATACAAACACAGGTGTGTATACACACACATACACAAGATATATGCACAGACATATATACACACATACATAAACAAACACACACACATGGCATACACACAGACACAAACATATACCAGACACACACATAGACATATACAGATGCACACAGAGACAGACAGACATATAGACAGACAGACACAGACACAGACAGAAAGACAGACACAGACACAGACAGACAGACAGACACACATACACACATAGACATATAGACACACACACAGATACAGACATACACTAAGACACACACACAGACACACACACACATAGACATACATACAGATAGAGACACACAGACTCATAGACACACAAACAGACATACACTCACTAAATAAATAAATACTTTTTAAAACCATGACAACACTAACCCAAGGGAACATCCCTCCACTTGCCTTAAGAGATAAAGAAAAGGTTGTTGCCACCAACAGCTCACTTACCTCACTCCGAGGAAGGTCCCTAAGGAAGGATGCTGTACCCAGGCCATGGTGACACTGGCATGTGCCGGTGCTGTCTTCCTTCCGGTCATTCTGGGTTAGTGTTTGCAGGGAGAGTAAGAGGCTTGCTCTGGCCTTGCTCTTGGGCAGTTCGGAGGCCTCTGAACATCTGTTGGCGTCCCTGTAGCTTCTAAGAGAGACCATGGAGACTGCACTAGTCCTGCCCCCAAGGCAGAGATCTACCCTCTGAGCCCCGGCCTTGGGACTCGTGGGCTTGGGGCTTGTGGGTCTGCAAGGCATGCCTTGGTTTCCATAGGCCAAGTGGCAGGCAGAGCTGCAGGGGAGTGTACAACCGATGCCAGCGTGCTGGGCTCCAGGGCTGGTGGGGGTAGTCAGCCAGGATGGCTCTGGGAAGATGGTAGAAGAAAAGTACCTACTACTCTCCTGGGTAGCAGTGCGTTTTATGGTCGGTTCACTTTTCCTCCTGTGTTCTGGAGACGTTAGACAGCTGGAGGGTGGAGTTGCAGGAGACTGTAGGGGTGTCCGAGACTCCACACACACATGGCTGTCCGTGCTAACTGTCCACTCTTCACGGTTTCCTCTGGCTGCTGGTGGGGAAGAGCGGAGGAGTTCGGGAAAGTCTGGACCCGGAACCCCACTCACTAAAGGGGTCCTTTTGGAACCTTCCACATCTTTGCTTCTCAGAAACGTGCGCCAGGAGCTCTGGCCTCGCCTGCGCTTCTCTTTCTCGCCTTTGACAGAGCCAGCATGCGTTTTCTCTGTAACTTTGGCCTCAAAAAAATTAGTAAAGGTCTTATGGGCTAAGGCCAGCCTTGCTCTGATCTTGCTCTCTGTTGTTTTCAGTCTCTTGATGTTGCAGCCTTCTGGGGAAGGGCCTTCACCACCAAGGTCCCCTGGTGTCCCCACTTGAAGCTCTTGGTGTGTACCAACAGAATGGGTCTCCAGAGACACGCTCTGGTGCACGTGGTGCAGAGGCGGCTCCATCCGGCAGGCTGCAAACCACCGACTCTGGGGCACACCTTCCTCAGAGCTGGGGCAAGTCAGGTTCAGACCTTCTGAGGTCAAGGCCTGGCTGCATGGTATGTCCCCTCCGGGGCTCTCCTCAGACCAGGACCTGTCAGTCCTTAAAGGTGTCATCCGGAGACCGGCAGAGCGCTGCTCTGACTCCAGTGCATCCGGCTGAAGGCGGCCACACCGTTGCTGGATCTGCAGCGTCGTGACGTGGGCGGAAGTCAGGACTCCCGAATGCAGGACCTCTACCTCCCCAGCCCACACACTGGAGACTTCTCTGACCTCTGCACCCTCTGTGGCACACTCTCTTTGTCTGAGTTCTGGACTGGGAGATTCCTGGTTCCCCTCGGGGTGCATGCCCAAGTCTGAGTGCACACACTCAGACCCCAGGCTCGAGGCTTCCCCAAGCTTCTCCTCCAGTGTGTCTTCTGAGCTCAGTGTGTCCTCCGAAGCAGCCCTAGGGAGCAGAGCTCTCACAAGTTCTATGCCTTGGGCCAGCCGCTGAGGATCCCCATCACCCGGTCCTGCTGCAGGGCACTCACTGCGGCACGTTGGCATTTCTGGGGTCCTGGGAGACGCATAAGCCCTGGTGCCCGTGCCTTGTGAAGATTCCAGTCTTTCCTCTGGGAAATCACCCGACTGAGAGTCTAGACGACAGCGGGCCTTCCTTGTAGAGGTCTGTTTGTGTTCCTGCTTTACTGCTATCATAACGAGTTTGCAGCTGTGTTTAGAGGCCCCATGTACCTTGGACACCTGCTGGCCAGAAGTGCAAGTTTCCCTGGCATCCCCAGTCCCCTGTGCACACTCATTCCCAGGCCTGCAGTAAGACAGTTCGACTGTTGGGAAATCCGAAAGACTCTGCAAGGCATTTCCCCTGCATTGGAGGTCTAGAGCTGCTACCTCACCTGCTGCTTCTGAAGGATGCATTACACTTGAACTCAGGATGCTCTCTGGGGCGTAGGCGCTATCACTCACTTCTGAGGAACCCACGGCCATCTCACTGCCGCTGCAGTGAGGCGTTCTGTCAGGCGGCTTTCTCTCCTCATTGAGAACGTACTTTGATGAGTAGGTCTGGGTCTGGTTTCCTGTCTTGGCAGGGATGTTTTGCAGGCACCTTTGTTTACCGATAGCATCATCAGGGTGGACACCTTCGGGCTTCTCGAGTCTGCACTCTGGCCTATGTCCTGGCTGGCATTCAGCTGGCCCAGGCACTTCCTCTTGGCTGCCAAGCTTCAGCAATTCTGAAGTAAGGTGGGAAGGGTCTAGGCATGACCTAGAAGCCTGCTCTACCGGGTTTTCCTGTGGGAGACCTACACAGGGTGTGTCTTGAGATGGCCTTTTAAAGCTACAGTCACTCGGCTTGTACTCACCTGGCAAAGGAGGGGCCTTACTTGGAGAAGTGGGAAGGAAATAAGACAGCTGGGTGGGCCCAGGGGAAAGGGTGCTATGAATTATTGGGAGTCCGGGTTCTATTTCTGTCCCTTCTCTCAGGTAGGGCCTGAATGTCACACATTTCCGCTTCAAAGGCTCCTTAAGGCAACACAAGGGAAACGCTGCTATAGAATGAGCCCTAACCAGAGTCTTCACATGTTGGCGTCTTCGGGGTGTCTTGCCATTGTCACCAAGATTTTCTGGGACACTATGATGACATTTGGTGTCTACAAGACAAGGTGCGCCCAGTCGTGGTAGGCAGGCTACATCCAAGCAGGAATGAATCCAGAGTAAGTCTGTACCCACTGTGGGCCTGGAGGCAGGCCCCTTCTTTGTCCTGATCCACAGAGGGAACTCAGTGTCCTGCAGGCCTGTGTGAAGTAGCTCAGCTGCCCCAGCCCTGCTGTGGATGTGTGGCCAGCTCTGACCGAGTTCACAGTGTTGCAGAAAGCAGGGCCAGACCAAGGGGACGTCCAGATAGCCTTTTGTCCTGGACTTCTGCAGCCGGGGACTGACGCTGTCGGTGGCGTTCTGTGACGTAGCAACTGGCGAGGGCTTCTGCACCAAACTGGCCCTACAGTCACAGAGGATTTCTTCATCCCGTTTTCCAGCAGCCGTAGCCGTTGAGGTGTGCAGTTTACTTTGATGATAATCTTTCTTCAAGCCTGAGAGTAAATCCGACTCTTCCCCTGTGTGGAGCCCATCAACACAAGCCAAATGCTGCCCCTGAGGAGGTCTAACTGCTGAGTCATCGGGGCATCCCCAGTCTGCTTCTCTGTCTGCAGAGGGGCCACCTGGAGAGAGGCAGACTCCACCTGTGGGATCCCCAGGCAGGGACTCTGCATCAGAAGCGCTCTCAAAGGGTTCTGTTTTTGTGTCTGAGCGACTTTCACTCTTATGGGACAGTGTCTCAAAATCCTCAGGGTCTATTTCCTGGCACCATTCCTGCTCTTCTGGGTCTGCGGGGTTTGGGTGGAGTTGGTTATCTTCACTCTCACCTGGAGCAGGTGCATCTGGCTCTGGAGTCTGGATGAGAAGAGAAGAGTCAGAGAGCTGTCCCCAGGACCTAGGCACACACATTTACACCATCACACATGCCCTTTTCAGAAGGAAATATCCTTCCTCATTTCCCACATAGTCCCAGCAAGGAAGGGAGGCATTAACATAGAAAAGAGCATGCAGGGCTGAGGGGATGGCTCCATGAGCATTGTGTGCCATACAAGCTGGACAACCCCCATTTGGATTTCTGGAGCTCATATAAAAGTCAGCTGCGGTAGCTTAAGCCTGTAATCCCAGCATGCTTATGACAAGGTGGAAGGCAGAGGCAGGAGAATAGCCAGAAACTCAAAGACTAGCAGGCTTAGTGTAGGTAGCAATAAATAAGAGAGACCTGGTCTCAAGGCTGTCACTCAAGGTTGTCCTCTGACATGCTCATGTGTACTGTGGTACATATATATCCTGCCCCCCAAATGAACGCACAAATACACAAGCATGAACAATCAGTGTGTGCACATGCGCTCGAGCACACACACACATGCACACACTAACATACAAATACAAACATGAACATACATATACAACACACTCATACACATATATATTATCACAGTCATACACTCATGCCTACACACACATTCACATTCATATACACACAAACATGAATATACAAATACATAAACACACACACACATATATATATATATATATCACATATACACACTAATGTATCCACACACCTGTCTGCACACATACACACAAAGATGAAAAAAGACTCTGGAGATCCACCATGGAGGGCCTCACCCTCCCTGGGGATCAGAGTGTAGATTGGGTGGGGGACTGGGGAGCCTGGTGGGGAGGGATGCGGAGGAGGGGAGGGAGAGGGAACTGGGATTGACACGTGAAACAAACTTGTATCTAACTTAAATTTAAAAAAGGAAGAGAAAAAAAGCAAACAAAAAAAGAGCACATGGAAAAAAATGAAAAAAGAAAAAGTAAACAAGGAATGAAGTCAAGCCTGAGTTATGGAGAGAAAATGTCACAGAAATTAAAACAAAGCCACCAAAAGGCCTAACAGGCCAGTCCAGCATTCGCAGTTTAGGTAAGCATGAGCATGCTGTGTGAGTCACCGTGAGAAGCATGCTTCTGTGTGGGGTATCCAGCAAGAAGAAACAGATTAATACATGTCTACCCTCAACAAAAATACTGTTTGTTCTTGTGTAGCCCAGTGGCTTATAGTAAATGCTTTTATGTGTAGAATTGCTTCTTAAGTTCGCATAGCCAGAGGGGGGAAAAGAAGAAAACAAAAGAAGTCTTGAGAATTACTGAGGCTACAAACATGGGATGGTCTGTATGCTCAAGGCAGCTTTGAGAACAAGAAGAAAGGGAACTTGGCAGAAACTTTGCCGTTTTCTTTCTCTCTCTCTCTCTCTCCCTCCCTCTCTCTCTCTCTCTCTCTCTCCCTCTCTCTCTCTTTCTCTCTCTCTCTCCCTCCCTCCCTCCCTCCCTCCCTCTCTCTCTCTCTCTCCTCTGTCTGTCTCTCGTTCGTGTGAGTATGTGTGTGTGTGTGTTACATCTGATATCCACATGTGGGTGTCATTGCTTGGATTTTTGTTTGAGACGGTCTCTAGTTACACCACCACCCCCTTTGAAAGACAAGGTCTCATTGCATAGCCTTGGAACTCTCTATGTAGATTAGGCTAGTCTCAAACACAGAGATCCACCTGTTTCTGCCTTCAGTGAGTGCTGAGACTAAAGACATATGCCACCATGCCCAGTTTATACGTTTCTTAATCCACTCTCTAAGTCATGAATTCTCATGTGCCCATTTAAAAAAATGCAGGTATAAGCTGTGAAAAAGGTAGTCACCTACAAAGATCTATTTCTATTTCCCCTAAAAATCCCTGTCCCTTCCTAGCCAATGTTCTCCTCGTCCCAGTCCTTCCCAGGGTCAGGGATCTGACTTCCGTTAGTCTTGATTAATCAGCCCTGGGGTTTGATGTGGACAGACTCTACAATATGTCTTTTGGGGCCTGGCTTCATTCCCTCAGGTGTCATGCCTGTATCACAAATATCCAACCTGAAGCCTGCAAGCTGCATGTGACCCATGATAGCTATGAATGCAGCCATGCAAAACTACCAAGTTACCTAAAACATGAGATTTGTGTGTGTGTGTGTGTGTGTGTGTGCGTGTGTGTGTTTAAAAATATAACTCGACTACATGATTCTCAAGCACAAATGTGTAGATATGGTGATGTTCAGGGTTAGACGTGACTGCTAACCCTTGCGCATGCAGTAACCGCAAATGTGAGGTAGCACTCACTGTACTCGGCATTCAACCGTCAAAGCTTCCTTCATTTCCCCAGGCTATAAGTGGTATGGGCACTTGTTCCAGAATCTAGTTAGGGCTCCTCAAATTCTGTACCCTTCCCAAACATGGTTTCTCTAGGTCGCGCGCGCGCGCGCGTGTGTGTGTGTGTGTGTGTGTGTGCGCGCGCGCGCACACACACACGCGCGCGCGCACACACACAAATAAAATAAAATACATCCATCTGCTGCAATGTGTACAGCTTCCTATAAATATGTATAACCCACTTTGCAATTCTCAGCATGTTAATTAATAGTAAATGAATAGAAATAAAATCACAAAGTAAAAACGTATTAACTCTCATATTAAATCTAGGCTATGACCTAGGATTGGAAATCAAATTTGAAGAAATATTTTTTTGACAGTGAGGCTCAGAACGTACTAGATGGGGGAGTGGATCAGATTGGGATGGTTTTTAAAAGGCAGGCTTGCCACCTTCTCTTGGGCAGTGTGCTGCCTCAGACACTAAGGCCAGAGTTGGGCTTTTCTCCTTTAAAGGACACTGAGCTCTCATGAGTTTTGACAGAGCTGAGCTGAGAACAGGATTTCACAGAGGTAAGAGTGGATGGGGTAGGGGGCAGGTTCCAGCCCTTGCCCTCCCGCACCTCAGCTTCAGGGCACCTCTCTCCAGGTGGCTCTGGAGACACACCTCCCTTCACCCCACATGAATCTCACCACGTCTCTCCTCATCTCAACTCCAAACACTTAATCTCCACACTTCCTCGTCTATCACTTATTTTTAAAATGTCAGTATTTGCAGACACAATATGCCCTCCAAACAGCAATTTCAGACGTGTGTGTGTGTGTGTGTGTGTGTGTGTGTGTGTGTGTGTGTGTGGTGGTACATACAGGTGCTTGGGATTCAAACTCACAACCTCATGCTTGAGTGGCAAGCACTCTTACCCACCAAGTCATCTCCCCATCCTTGCAACACAGTAGCTGTAACGTGCAATATTTCAATGAACTCGGCAATTCTTTTTTCTCTCCTAATTCCCATCATGATTTCCTGTTTGACCCAAGGTTTACTAGAAGAATATTTTAGTAGTCTTTTTTGGTTTCTGATTTTTGTTTAATTATGCTATAGTCCGGGTGTTGCCTGTATGATTCAGATATTCTGAAATTAGTTGGAACTGGTTCTACTGCATGGTGCGGGGCCTAATGTCATAAAGGAGCTGTTTGAAGGTTAGGACTTGTGTAGCAGTTAGATGCAGAGCTTTCTAGAGGAAGTCTAACTCAGGTCCTCCTGCTTGCACCACAAACATTTACACAATGAACCCTCTCCTCAACCCTCCTTTCTCTGAATTTTAACTATTGATACATACTTGATATAAGGAAACCACACAGATTCCAAGTTTTAACACTCACTTGCAAAACTCCAGTTAGTTAATGCCGTTTGTTAATTGCTCCCTTCAGACCCTCTTTGCCCCCCTGAATGCCTCCTGCTATCCCCCCATGATCTGTAAATGCTTTCTGTCATGGCAGATTACTTTGTTTTATAGAAATGTTGTCTCTGCAGCCTGCATTTGGAGATGGGAGGGGGACTGGTCTTTTCCACTCAGCACAGTTACCTGTTTTCCCATCTATTTATTTGTTTGTTGTTTGTTTTGTGCAGCACAATTATCTTGAGATGCATCTGTGCTGTGGCACTGCTCAGTACTCTGTCCCCTTTATCACAACTGAGGGTTTCGCTGCAAGGATGGCCTTATCACAGTTTGTTTCTGTGTTCACCTACAGATGTTATCTTAGTCATGCAGATTTTTGGCTTTTCAAATAGAGTAATGTTTGTGCACAAGTCTTTTTTATGGCCATATGTTTGTGTTTCTCTAGATTAAATACCAAGGCATGGTGTTTATGCATGGTGTTCTGTGTTAGACGTATACAATTAATTCTTTACAATTTTAAAATATTTTATTTATTTATTTATTTTGGTTTTGTCTGTGTGCATGTGTGTATTCTGGGAAGGGAGGCACATGCTTGCCACATTGCACATGTAGAGGTCAAAGGACAACCTTTGGGAACCTGTGGTTCTCTTCAACGCTGTGGCTTCTTGGGATCAAACTCAGGTCGTCAGGCTCAGTGGCAGGCACATTTACCCACTGAACCATCTCACTGGTCCACATTTAGTGTCTTTAGAAGCTGCAGGCAGTTTCCCATTCCTTCTTGTTAAGCATGGCCACCAACACTGCAAGAGGCATGGCACATGGCATGTCCAGGCATGGCCACTGTGACCTTTCATTAAGTGAGAAGTGGTGTCTTCCTATGGTCTTTTTAGGGATTCCAGCTAGCCCAACCATGACCAACATGGCTCTGGCCTTGCTCCTCTCCTCCATTCCCTCTGCCTTGGCAAAAACTATTAGATTATATTCCTAAAGCTAGTCACTAAGGCCTATTCCCTTATTTGGTCACTTTTTCCTCCTGATGCTGACTACCAAGGTCCAGCTATCAAAGTATTGAAGTTCAACAATCAAAAGCCCCCCTTGGCTCACCGAATTAACATGTCCTCTTAAAATTAAACACTTCATACTAATACGATCTTTTCATATGTTTATTTTCCCATCTATCTGCAAAGTCTTGGGAAAAATATTTGTTCAAATCTTTTGCCTTATTTATTTAAATGCTGTGTCACCCTGGCTGGCCCAGAATTCTATAATTAGACCAGGCT